AGAAAAGAAAAGTCTATGATGCAAACTTGGCCATTGTCTTTACCTGAGAGCTTCCCCAGATGACCTGTAAGTCTCTTTCCAATCCAAACTTGATCACGACATTGAATTTGTTCCCTACCCAAGGTAGAGAGGAGCAGAGCCAGCGTGGATATCCCTGTGGCACTGAACATTGTCTGAGGTGACAGTCCTTCTCAGCTTTGAGGACTCCTGAGGCTGTCTAGGATCAGCCAAGATATGTGTCTGCTGGAGCTGTGGTCTCAGGTCATCTGAGGGACAGCTCCTGGGACAGTGCCAGCAGTGGCGCCTCAGATCTTCAGAATTCTCTTTCCATTTCCCAATACTGCCCTTGAGGACTTCTGGGAGAAGCCCCTTTGCCTTCTGCTCTTTGGGTTTGAGTAACCAGCATCCCACACTCAGGCCTTGCCTCAGTGGGGCTTAAAGAGTCCCACCATCTTGTTAGGATCCCACAGGTGTCTTTCCTTGCATGGCAGCACAGCCCATCAGGAAAGCTCACACCCTGACAGGTTCCTCAGGAGGACTCCAGAACTCACTGCCTCGCTTTCCAGCTGCCAGCTTAGCAGGTTGTTGGGTGGTTGCTGGCCTCTGGAGACCAGTCAGTGCCCTTGTGTCCCATGCCAGTCCCTGCCATTACAGGTTGGCAGGACTATGGGTAGAGCATGCCAGCCACATGGCAGCTTGCTGGCGGCCAGGCTGTAGTCTGGGTCTGTATCCTGGCTAACTCAACCATGCTGAATGTGGCATTGCTGCATAAATGGACGAGGATTGCTTAGTTTTTCCTAGGTACCATGCGTTCAGAGGGGACTGTGGCCTTCTCCTTTCTCAATGGGTCTTAGAATCCATTCTTCAGAGACCAGTATCTGTCCAGTTTGGAGGCTGAGATGGGCTCAGGCCCTTGGGGACGGACCCTGACCCTTCATCTTCCCTTCTGTGTGTGTGCCTACCTTTGTATGTATGTCTGATGAGAGTTGTGAAGGCATGGGTATGTGTATATTTTATGCATGAATGTGCAAAATGTGTGTGTGTGTGTGTGTGTGTGTGTGTGTGTGTGTGTGT